GTAATTCGGTAAGTAAAAATTATTAATACAAATGAGTTCCTGTTTTAACTTTTTTTTATTTATTTAGAAGAGGAATTAATTTTATAGACTAGACACTGTAGTTTATGGTTCTAACTGAGTTATATAACAGTAATCCGACTACTTTCTACTGTCAATAACAAATTTAGTTTTTTTAAGAGATACGGTAAACTTATAAATGAAAACGAAAACAGTGAAGAAACGAGCCAACTGTAGTACCTATGCCTCATTGTAAATACGCATGAATTTGATATTGCCGAACGCCAAACTCCTTATAGTTCAATGATGCATGCCTTCCCTTCCAATAAAGACTTTCAATCATAACCTGAAGTCTGGGGATCGATTTGTCGAGGCGGTATTAGCTTGCAGCGATGCCCGCAGGTTTCTCTAACGCGATTCACATTCCAACACGTTGTTGGCATGATCTAAGCTCGATCGCGAAGGCTAGTAAAAGTCCACTCATTGCGCTTGCGCTTTGACAACGCACGGACACTCGGGCCCGGCGCATGCGCAATGGCAATGACACGCGGAAACGACGACGCAGAAAGTAAACGTGCTGCACCTGAGGTACGCGCGCTTTCTCGATAGAAAGGTCCAGTCTGACTTTCGCCAGCCTTTACGGTACGCACTGCCATATACGTGTAACTCTTGTATGGAGATTCAAGAATGGAAGAAAGTTGGCGGTTTGAACAATTCAGTGATAAACTCAATTTTTAACGAGTGAATTCATTATTTGCGTTAGCTTGACAACACAGTTTAGACGATGAAAACTAACTTGGTTAAGAGACTTTTACTTGTTTTTAGTGACTTGCGGCCTTTTTATCCTTTATTTTTTTCGGCTACAAGTCTGTATATGGTCATGGAACTGACAATGTAAACAAAGGGGTGAGCTGATCATAATTCCTGTGTGCTTCTTTGTCGTATAATGGTGACACGATGTTTTATATGATTTATTTTATCCGTTACAAAATCAAATTCTATAGATTTTAGTGTTAGTATTTTATTTTTATTTTATTTTATGTTACATATGGTATACAAATGAGATTGCCCACTTGCCTAAAGTCTTGCCCAATACCTTCTGTGTTTGGATACTTTTTTCCCCCTTATTATTGTTGAGTTCGTGTCATTTCCCGTATGATTTTGTGCGGTGAAGTAACTCATAACAACGCACCCATAGTTTGGCTGACGGCTGCGTATTACGGACGTGACCCGGGCACTGTTGAGCCGCACTCGCCACTCGCGCCAAATTACGGGGTTCCCGCCAAAAATCGTGGGATTGTTTTGTAATGGCGCCTCCCCCGACGACGCAACGTCGACACCGCCTCCGCGTCACGTCAGGTACACGGCGAGACAGTCTTGAGGTGTTTTGTAGCTGAATCGTAAAAACACAATAGACTTGTCACTCTTGACTACACTATTTAGGAAAACAATATAGTAGTTGATGAACAAGATGAAGAGTAGATCTTTGGTCGGCAACGATGATTATTTACTCTGATTATTAACATAACAGTAACGTCTATCATTGCTTCGATCCTGAGAAATTATGCTGGTTGTTTAAGTTGGCAGGTCAACAATTTAATTGGTTACCAGCTGATAAGTTGGTGTTCGAAGCATTGCGATTTTAGTTATTTTCTCTTGATATAGTGCTATAAAGTAAGTAAACAATGCGGTAAAGCAAGTAAACAATGCGGTAAAGTATGTAAACAATGCGGTAAAGTAAATAAACCATGAGGTAAAGTATGTAAACAATGCGGTAAAGTAAACAATGTGACAAAGTAAGTAATCAATGCGGTAAAGTGAATCTGTTTTCAATTCTACAAATTTAATTAAAAAGGCTTTTATATCAAGTTATCGTAGGTAAAAAATTTCCGGTTGACTAATTATTTTCAATCCGCTATAGCTGTAAATCTGTAATATCCAACGCTATAAAAGGTGTGCAGATCCAGTGTTGAGTTCCGGTTTTACGTCTCTCCGTTTGTAGCTCATTTGCTCTTAGCCTGGTTTCACCTTATCTGCACATTTTAACGTTATAGTCTCGTTTATTGTTCCGTTTATGATCATGAAGCCGCTTCAAAACGTTCAAAGCTTCCGTGAGAATCGGTTCGATCGAGATACGTGTTAATAAACGATTCTCACCTACTTGGTTTGATCGTAGCAGAGGATAGACATTATTTAAATGTACAATTTAGTGAACATTCTGTAAACTATGTTTATGTAGGTTGTTTGACTGGTTATAAAACATTTGTTTCACAATAGTAGAATTCATGGAATGATTTATAACTAGATTTTACTCGGGCCTTGCTTAGGGACGAGGACGTAGAAGAGAATAATGTGGTGTTTTAAGTAACGTAGAATGGCTTTACTTAGAGACGAGGACGTAGAAGAGAATAATGTGGTGTTTTAAGTAACGTAGAAGGGCTTTACTTAGAGACGAGGACGTACAAGAGAATAATGTGGTGTTTTAAGTAGGGTACCCTAGAAAATATAGTTACACATTCAACTAGTTTGTAGAAACTAGTAACAAAAGTCAGTTGTAGAAATTATGTTAAATTTTCTATTGTTTAGTTATTGACTTTTGGATACTGTAGTATCCCATAAATATGAACCAGCTGTCGTATTTTTTAAATGTAAAAATAACATAGTTCTGTGTGAACCAATCACAGAGTGGGATAATGTCTAAAAGTCTATCTATTACCTACCTTATGTTTTGTTTCTGAGATAGTTTACGCGACATACAAGATGCTACAGCTGTAGCCTTGACTTGGTTAAAAGTCCGCATATTCGACTGCATCATCGCAATCTGCTCTTTTCACGTCCTCAAAAACTAGCGACAACCTCACATGGGGAACATGGGGAAGGAATGTCTAAAGTTTAACCCAATCAGCTGTCTAAGTGAAATTAACAGCTGTATCGAAATGTAAACAAAGTAAATGCAATTTGTGTATGCATACATTATGACCTAATAGGCGTATACGTTGTAGTTTTTCTTTTGGTTTCCATTGATAACCAATCAATATTCTCTTCCGAATTCCCATCTCAAAACTTTTCGTCGTCGAAAGTGCGTATCCCAATTGCATTCTATGGATATGACTAGTTCATTATGTTTGCTGGGTTCATAATCAATATTTGTGTAATAATTTTTCAGTTCAATTTTTTTCTCAATTCCGTTCAAACACCGACAGTAGTCACATCTTCATAGCGTGTGCTCCCGCTATCTCCGCGTTCCGCCACCTCCGAACCCAAATCTGTCCCGCCACCTCCGAATTCTTGAGTGACCCTTATAATCCCGTCATTGCCTGCGTTGGTAGCTGTCATTGCATCCACGGCTGCGAAGCCCCGTGGGTGGAAGATTTGATGAAAATTTAACCCGTGGGTTAAATTAGGTTAGGTTAGGTTAAGTTAGGTTAGGTTGGGTTAGGTTAAGTTAGGTTAGGTTAGGACGGAAAGTCTTAACGCAGGTAGTAACTGAGGATTATAGGGGTCACTCTGAAATTCGGAGGTGGCGGGACACAGAGGTGCTGGGACTCGGAGATAGCGGGAGGTAACCCTTCATAGATGCATGTTTTTTCCTCCGCCTGTAAACGGAACATAGAAATTACAAGTCTCGCAGTATCCAGCCATCGGTCAAACGAATCTCAACGTTTTCAGAGTTAAAACATTATGTTTAACACAAACTTGTATTAGATTGACACTCGCATGACTCTATGATTCGTCACTGAACCAGTCGATTCGGTGGATTCACTCGCCCTCGCTTACATTGGCTCATTCCCGGCTCGCTTCCTGGCATTGTTTGTCCTATCTTGCGACATGCGCAGTCGGACGCGAAACGTCTTATTTGCGCCCATTCATTTCCCCGGCGCGAGCAAATTGTCGACGGTTTTTGTAATTTCACGACACGCATTCTTGATTTGACGTCACTCGGAGATTGTGGCGGTTCTTGGGTTGTCCGAGTGTCTACTGGTCATCCAAATCCTACTGTTCACTGTAAATCGTCTAAAAGTTATATTTAAATAAGTTTTATTTTTCATACCATTTTGACTCCTTTGTAATTACTTTTTTGAAACCGTCTTTCATTGACGTTCCTATTTAAACATCTTCATACCTTTTCTGTATTAAAGCTATTAAAAATATGTCAAAAATGACTCCTTTGGGAATTTTCCTTAAAGTCCTTTAAAATTCTCATTCGACATGCATATTTCCCATATTCCATGGGAAATAGCTCAGTACAATTAAATTCCCTTGTAAAGTCTATTACGCACACAGTTTCCTTTTTCTAAGTCGTTAAAAGTTCTGAATACTCCTCAATGAATCCTATAATACCTTCCAAAGTAATCGTGTGACAAGGAATACAAGACCTTTTTAAAGGTTCCCCTTTCATAAAAGCCCAAAGTCCCTCAAATAAATGCTATCCTTTAAGAAGGTATTGGAATTCCTTAAGAAGTTCTCTTACTTACACTAGTGTAAATATGCATAATTGTATTACCTTTATAAAATGTCTATTATAAATACATAACAATAAATACCTCTTATATTAAATATCTTTGGCAGCACTTCAAGTCTTTCACTTATTCATTGAGTTATCCTTGGAAAAGTAACGACACAGGCAGAACTATATTCTTTACTCTAATGGGCTTAAATCAACATGGATTGAATTTATTTTTGCCTTGCCATAAGCTGATGTATGTAGACATAGTTTAATGACTAGGTATTTACCATAGAAATTGAATTTATCTTTATCCTGCATTACAGGATGGAAAGTTAATTATGTAATTATAAGATTATATCTATATACAATAGGATTATGTTCTGTTTTCAAAAATTACCATTGAAGTTTTATCATACACTAATATGTATTTGTATTGACTATAACCCTGTATATTGTAACGATACCAACCCCTCTGCTTGTTGTTTGTTTGTACTGTTTTTCAACAGAAGGTTACGAATTGTAGATATTTTAGTTACAATATTTCGTATTGTTACAGAGATGGCAGCGACGGTGGTTTGTGCTGTACGACGACGGAGAACTGAGCTACGCTCTCGACGAACACGTAAGTGATCATATGATTAATATTTTGATATAGAGAGTGTTTGAGTCATTTAAATAGAAGTTATGTATGCCCAACAACTCTGATGAACATTAAATCACATTTTCACACAGTAAGCAACCTGAAACTTCTTGGAAGGGTTTAAATATGCCTTCATGATTCCCTCGATGTCCTCTTCTGTTAAGTCCAAAAGTCCTTTGAAAAAATCATCCGGAATTTCACATTTGAAAATGTCATCTAAATCCTCCAAAATTAATTTAATTTAATTTATCTTGTCCTAGCCTAAGTCTTTACAACGAAGTAACAAGATGTGTTCTTGTGACGCATTTTTACAAATTTACATCCAAGTTTTTCTAAACTTTGAAAAGGGCCCCTAAAAAGGTTAGTTTGAAATAAAGTCTTCCAAATCCTCTTTACAAATCCATGATGATGTGCAAAAGTTACCATATAACACACTTTATTTGTTTCCCTGTAGCAGCAAACCAAGGTACTCGTTAAACCTAATGTTATTAAAAAAAATGTAATTGAAAATCAATTCAGGCAGATGGAAATTCGCTTAGTCGGCAGGTTTTCAAGGGCGGGGGTATTCTTAGATTCATTTCACTGTGATTTAGCCGAAATGCATCACACTTTGTATCCTAAAAAAAATATTTCTTGCTCGTAGTTTCATGTATTGGTCACCGGGGATGCCATATAAATGCATTTCCGATCTCTAATAGAGTGCCAGGATTATCAGCTTAAGAGTTATGGAGGGTTTCAGGGGATCGATCGGCACTGAGGTGGCTTCTGCAGATCCACTTTACCGCCACGTTTTGACCAAACTACGGAATAACTTTTTTCCCTAGTTTTCTGTCATAAAGCCTTATTATTTTAAACGTATTTTTGATCGATGTTACGTTTTTAAGCCATGAGAGTGGTATGCAAGATGTCTTGCAAATGTTGGCAGCCATGCCACATTTTGAACTAAGGGGTCCAAAGAAGATAACACGTTGTTCATCAACGTGCTCGATCCGTTTTACCTGCTTCGAAATCGTTGTACAGTCCTTGGAGATGATCGATAATTTAATTGAAAAGTTAATACTAAACAGAGTAGCTTAGCGGGAATGGTGCAAGCTCCTCGAGCAAAGGTAGCTGGTTGTAAAGCTTCGTATCTTAGCGTCGTTTATATTGTGGCCTTTTCATTTAACCTCGCTAAAATAATTAGGTATCTGATGACATAATCGAGTGCCAAGTTAGTCAAAAGACTCGCTACGAGTGTACGATTCAATACAATGAGATGGGTTGGTGGCCCAATGGGTAGCACCAAGGACTTTGGCACCAAAAAAGTCCTGGGTCTAGGATCCTAGTACCTGCCATTATAGTTTATCAATCAAGTCAATGAATACTATTTTAGTAGTCATTGAAGTTCACCCTTGTATTGTACTGGCTCACCCTTTGATTTGCTGGATACGTTACACGCACAGACCTCTGTGGCCTATGTGGGTGGGCAAATGCAAGGAAAAGAGGCCGCCTTCCTCTTAAAAAGTAATATACCATAGACCTACTGTGTTGGAAAACCGCCACACGATTTTGCGGTGTATCAGAGTATTCTATAGTTTATTCCCAGCACTTTAAGATTCTGGATGAACAGGAAACTATTTGATATTGTATCACGAAATGGCCACAATATTCTGCGGCCGTCCAAGGTGTTAGTGTGCCACGAGTGGAATGTACCGCAGCCCGCAGCTTTCTACCAATACCTAGGCACGGGTCGGTGGCCGTACACACACACACACACACACACGCATTGTTACATAACACAACAACACGGGACTTCTGTCAAAGTTCCACCCCCGCGTCTGACAGATCTATTGTAAGTAGATCACGATACTGTCGATCTTGTGGTTTCGTAATCGATGATTGTTGGTTGCCGCTGCATTGCAGTGTGCAACGTTTACGATTCTATCACCATTGTTATCTGTCGCATATCAGTGACCTTGGCCTATATTTGCACCGTTTATGTGTACTATTTCACCCTATGATTATTTTCGATGCAGCTTTTAAGTATTCCTAATTAAAGACGGTAAGTTGAATAACAGTACAGCTCGTCACTTCGATTCTGAAAAACAATTTCTGCTGCTTTCTGATGGTTTGAAAGTGGACCCAACTGTGCTGGCGACTGGGCTTTAAACTAGGTGCACGCTCATTCTTCCCGTGTGTGGGTGAAACGAAGGTAGTGAATAAGTCCGGTGGCTTTAAAATTTCAGGATTAATTAACTATGATTACGTTAGTATGACGATACACAAATATTCTGTCATAGAGTGTATACGTGTCATAAAAGATTATTTCATGAATATGAAAAGTATGGAGCAGAAGTTGACATAAATGCTGTAAGTTACTGTGTGTTTGGTAAAAGGAATGAGACAATATTAACTTACAGTAGAAGTGCCCTAATGAGCGGCAAAGAAAATGGACAGGGAACTTAAATGAGATGAGACACCTCGTATAGTAAAGAATAATGAAACAGGCTAAACTGAACGATGAAAGTACTGTATGGACGTAGAATTGTGACGCATATGCATTTTACTGTGTATTAGGAAAAAAAGAATGAGGGATTGATTCACAGAAAAGGTGTCAAGAATCGGTGATAATAAAAAGAGGCAGACACATTTCGATGATACGAAGAGGCTCAATGAAAAAGAGTCTAAATGAACAGAATACAAAAAGGGGGATACGAAGCTAGCAAATCCATGGAGTTGGAATGGGCAAAAAACGTTGAAAGAAAACACAGGAAAGGAGTTATTCCAAAATAGTTGCAGAGCAGCAATCAATAAGACAAAAGCCGATGTCGGTTCACATCTATATGTAAAAGAGCGTTGTATACTAGCTGGTTTTGCCTAAATCGAGAAGAAGAGAATTATTCACCTTATAAACAACCGCGGATAACCAAACGGAAAGAGAACTGGTTGGCCGTGTTGTCGAGTCCCAAAATAATGAGGCTTCACATTTGTGCACAATAAAACACAAAGGAGGCTCTGTTTATGAGTGTGGCATTCTCTGTTGCCCTTAAATTCGGAAAGGTCTGACAAGTATTGTAGGTTGGATTTGTTTATCTGATTTTCTATCCTACAAGGCTTTTTTGGGCTGTGATGCGTGCTTTCAAAGATCTCAACGTGATTTTAGTCGTTGTATCAATAGAATTGTGGATTAATCTTTAGTAAATACTCGCTCAAGTTTGACCTTACAGATCCTTCGTTTGTTTTGCTAAAGTATTTGTACAACAATCAATCAAACGTAATCCATCCTAGAAGAAAACTCGTCTAACTAGCTGTTTCCATCATCCACCCTCAATGTTGATGGGACTAGATCTGAAGATGCTTCAAACATTTGCGAATGCAATTGAAGGATATTTGTACTTTAAAATGACGAAGCTTACTGGTGATTTAAGTTTCTTGCAGACTTAATGCGTTTTTTGGTGGTAGATGCTAAGGAATCTGAAGGAACTAAGGATATGAAAATGCTTCCAACATTTGGTAACACAATTATTGAAGCAAGTTTGTATTTTAAAATAACAAATAATTCTGGCGACTTGTTGTCGACTTGATGCGTATTTTGGTAGTACTTGAAAAAAAAACCCTTTCAAATAATGATCAGCATTCTATCTCACAGTTCTTGTCGCGCAATCGACTCACTTGCGCAAAACAAAGCACACACGGACGAGGTGGTCGGCTTTCGATTCAACTTCTCTATATAGACAAGTCGCGATCTGCAGACGTACTTTCACTCCGCTAATTGTGTCATTGGTTAGATAAACACAGGATTGTCTGTCTGATGAATCACATTCATCCTCACAGTGTGGTTAGAGTGAAGCTCTTTGAAATCCGCTCCGAGAGGATTGATGGTCGCAAGTCAGTAGGTGCTGCTGTTTCTTGATTGTTGCCATACTCACTTATGTAGAAGTTCAAGAACTCTTTTCAGAACGATGATCACAAATCAAGGGTTACACTGGGTTGTTTACACTTGTTTGCATCTTCAGTTTTGGTGTATTTAAACAATCAACACCAATTCCAATGGTCAGTTTCACGATGATCGTTGAAACCCAAATGTGTTTCAGCTGTTTTATAATTGTTGACGATGCTATGTTTAACATCAACTTCAAGGGAGGGTTTCATGAATATCGCCCCAATTCAATTCATTCCGGTGGCTTCACGATGATGATCTCAACTCAACTATGAATCAGGTGTTTCGTATTCGTTGACAACCCGATTTGTAGTAGGAAAAAATCCAGGGCAATAGCAACGTTCAATTGGTCCTGTATTCCTTGGCTTTTTGCGTAGATATTCAACATCAGATCCAAGGCAATGTCTTAAGACAATAGTCACAATTGAATTGATTTCGGTGTTTCTTTGCTTTTTGCGTAGATATTCAACATCAGATCCAAGGCAATGTTTCAGGACGATGGTCACAATTGAATTGATTTCGGTGTTTCTTTGCTTTTTGCGTAGATATTCAACATCAGATCCAAGGAAATGTTTCAGGACGATGGTCACAATTGAATTGATTGCGGTGTTTCTTGGATTTTTGCGTAGATATTCAACATCAGATCCAAGGCAATGTTTCAGGACGATGGTCACAATTGAATTGATTGCGGCGTTTCTTGGATTTTTGCGTAGATATTCAACATCAGATCCAAGGCAATGTTTCAGGACGATTGTCACAATTGAATTGATTTCGGTGTTTCTTGGATTTTTGCGTAGATATGCAACATCAGATCCAAGGCAATGTTTCAGGACGATGGTCACAATTGAATTGATTCCGGTGTTTCTTAGCTTTTTGCGTAGATATTCAACATCAGATCCAAGGCAATGTCTTAAGACAATAGTCACAATTGAATTGATTTCGGTGTTTCTTTGCTTTTTGCGTAGATATTCATCATCAGATCCAAGGCAATGTTTCAGGACGATTGTCACAATTGAATTGATTTCGGTGTTTCTTGGATTTTTGCGTAGATATGCAACATCAG